TTATTTATTTATTTGCTTATAGTATGGTTTCACAAGGTGTTACAAATCATAATATTGTACCACAGGTTATGCAAATTTTTATATAGCATGCAAAATATTACACATATCAACTTTATTATTTATATAAAGTTTACAAAATACAGTTGCAGTCAATTCTAAATTAAATTTCACACTTTATAATAAAGAGTAGAAACAATAAAATTAAAATTAATTAAAATAATATCAAGTATTAAATCTTATTAAAAAAATTCTTTGATGTCGTAAAAATTATTTACCTTTAACCATATTAATAACTTTTTTTTAAATTGTCTGTCATCATTTTCATGTTATTGGGTATTTTTTTAAAAATTCGTACACACATCATCAAACAATTATTACTATACTTTGCAGATCTAGGGGTGTCTTTTAGTTCTAGTCTATGTTGGTTCCTTTTTGACCTGTTATTGACTTCGTTTGCTGTTGTAAACAATTCATTATGATTCCTTAAGGCATATAAGGCATATACATTGCGAATTGGTGGACTTAACACACCTTCAAAATAGTTTTTCTTCACCACTGAGCATGTAATACATCATCAATCAACACTTAAAATCAAAAATTTCATTAATGCCAGCACTGGGATTTGAACTCAGGTTGCTCAAGCCATTAATTAATATTATAAGTAGTCTATACAAAATGGAATATGAAAATTACCCGTGCTCACACATCCAAATACACAATGTTTAGAAATAGGCAAAGTTACAACACAAAACTTACCTTACTAATAGCTGCCAAAATATCGCAAAAATTAATTAATGGCGTCCAAGACATTGTAAAAAACACAAGCCGTCGTAAGTTTAGCGGAGAAATCTTCAACTTGACCTTAATCACACTTTTACTCAATTCAAAGAAATTTGCAATTCGTACTGCCACAAACACAAATGCAGAACAACAAAGATTAATTAATAAATGCGCACACGCAATTAAAAAAGATCAAACATTTGGACATTTTAAAATTGTTAGGAGACATTTTTTTTCACCTTTCTTCTAGTTTATAACATTGTATTACAACTGTATCACTTGTATATAGTGACCTCTAGTTAAAAAAAAAGAAAACAACATTTGTTTCAAGATCCTATAAGAAAGATGTCGCTACAAAAAATACTCGATCGGCTTTGTATAGGAGTTTCCCGCCCCTGCCACTGACTCTCCTGCGCGGCGGACTGCAAGTGGTGGGCGGAGCTTGCAGGACCCTTGCAGGATGCAAGGCTCGTCCTGCTCGATGATGCCAGAAACTGTGCAGGCCTGCAACACCATTCACGATCCTGCATAGAGCGGCGGACTGCACGGCGGACTGCCAGGCAGGATAGCGAATGGGCCCCTTAATAGCGATGTGCGACTCGAGTTATTTGACTCGAGTAACTCGAGTCAAACCTTAAACGAGTCAACTCGAGTTCAGTTTTAAGCAACTCGAATCAACTCGGTCGTCCGAACGCAAGCCGGACGTTATACGCGACGGCCTCACGAGTTGTTCCGAGTTACACACGCGGATCGCGCGCGCGGTTCGTTAGGCGTTGCAAATCGCATCAACTCGAGTTGAGTGAAATGTAAAGTTACGTTACACGCGCGCGCGCCGTTCGTAAGGTGTTGCATCTTACTCGCATCAACTCGAATAGAACTCGGGTTGAGTCGGGCTCGTTCGGCTAGGATCGGAAACGGAATTGCGCAAATGATAAACCGCTTTAAGTTTCTTTTGCTTTTTGGTTGACATTCTGTTATTTGATTTTATTAGTTGGCCGTTGGCGATCCGCGTGCGAACTGAGATTTTTGATTTGTTAGTGATCTGTTTTGTTTTGTTTGTAACGACGTCAAATAACAGAAGTGTGGCGTGTGAATTCTTTGCTATAAAAACAGCTTTGCAACATTTTATAAGTACCACTTTGAGGCGATAGATGGCGGTATTTTTTGTCGTATTTTCTTAAACACGATGTTGAGATCTGCGCTGGAATAATATACACCTTTGTTGATTGATTTTCGAAATAAAATGCACACTAGTGCCAATTGACTGTAAATTTTGTCTTTGAAATCCCAACCGTCGGACACTTTTCGAGGTCGAGGTGTATAGAAAAAGGAGAGAATTAGTTCAGACCACAAACGAAGTTGCGAATCGACTCGAGTAGCCACATAACATCACGATTCATTCAACATCATTATTACTTCCTATCTAATTAGCCTCGAGTCGAGCTGAATCGTGCTCTCCGAGTTGGCCGATTCGTCCCCCCCCCCCCCCCCCCCCCCTCTGTTCCTACCGGAGACTTCGATACGAGTCAACTCGAGTTGCGATTCGAGTCAGTAGCCAAATAAACTCGAGTTAAAAAAAAATCCAACTCGTCCATCACTGAATAGAAGAGAACCACTCTCTTGATAGATGTCCCCCCCCCCCCTTCACCTGCCTAGGGATGGGCAAGTGAAAAAAATATATCGATATTTATCGTAACACCGTTTTTAAAAACTATCGATAATTATCGAGTGAAAAATATCGATAAATCGATAATTTTTTTGATTATTTATATTTCCAAACCATTCAAAATTCGTAAAAAAAGAATAAACAAGTAGAAAACGTAATATTTATTTATAATCGACTCGATCAAATACAATTTAATCGAACCAATAATCATCTGATACGGACATTAGAAGCACCCTCTGATTAATGTGTTTTGCTATCAAATGGAATCTATTGTTGGGTACTGTCAGATTCACAGCTGAAACAACTCTTTCTGAAGACACCGACGAAGCCTGGCAAATTAGATACTTAAGGGCGACTTTTGATTTTCTTTTTAAGGTGTTTTATTTTTGTATATTCATTAATTTGTAATTGCTTAAAATTGTAAAATATTAATCAATCAGACTGCAGACAAATTGGACACGAATGAATGTCACAGCGTTAAATAAAATCATGCAAACTGACATAAGTATCACGCTAAATAGTTGAAAAATTTAATTAGTTCATCAACTTCTCATGATACTGAAGTTAGCCGACCTCTAATAATATTTGAAACTTTTTCCAACGATAAATCATAAAAGAAAATATATAAAAATTGTACTCAGAGTTTTTAAATTACTACATGTGCAATTATTTTCTTTTTTGATTTGTTGATAGAAAGGTCCGAAAATTGTTAACTTCAGGGTCATACACGTCTCACACTGATGGTTTAATAGTATTTGTAATTAATATTTTCATGGTATTGGCTTAAAGGTCTTGAAACCAGGCTATATAATATTTGATAAAAAAATATTATCGTGAACGTGCACCAAATCAAATTTGCGTTAAAAAATATATCGAAATTGATACGAATTCGATAGTCGAAAATAAATATCGAATGTCGATATATCGGGAATAAAAATATTGACAATATTTATCGATATTTATTTGGAAAAATATCGATATTTTTATATATCGATATACTTTGCCCATGCCTACACCTGCCTGAGTCCTGACAGCAACGTAGTGATTACCACCTTTTCAGTCCATACATTTGATATTTGTATGGAGCTTGCTCATTCCGTTTAGTTCTTTCACGCGAAAACAGATGGCGTATTATATTTTAAGTTAAAATAAATTTATAAACAAAAAATTATGTATGGTTCTTATTTTGGAGAAAATTGTATTTTATTAAATAAAATTTTAAGTAAAATGCTGGATGTAATTTTACACACCGTTTAAAAATAAATTAAAAAATATATTCTAAGTATTACTTAAAATAATATTAAGTGGGTTCGATTCCCACAGCGGCGACAATCATTTCGTACTTTTTCTACATGTTTTAATAATATTAAGTTAAGATAAATTTTATAAAAAAAAGTATTTAAAATTTATGAATTAAATCGTTCTATAATGATATCAATACAGAGCATTTATATCTAATTAATGTTAGTTACAATAAGAAAAAGACATTGAGTACATGTATGGTTCTTATTTTGGAGAAAGTTGTATGTTATTAAATAAATATTATTAATTTAAAAGAAAACAACTAAGCAAAATAATTTTAAACAGTGTAACGGAACGTTACCGACGTAACTGCTACGATGTTCGTAAGTCTACGACATTTGCGTAACCGCGGCCCGTTAATAATAATTTATATTATTCGGTTATTCATTATTCATTATTCATCATTTTATTTTTTTATACGTTACAGCAAAACATTAATATTGTATTTGCAGGTAAAGATTGCAACGCAAATTTCCTCATCCTGAAAAAGATAGTGACATATAAAACATGGATTCAATCGATTGAAGGAAATTTACTGATTTTGGATAGCCAAAAAATAATTTAACGTAAATAATTTACTAAACGGCACCAGACTCGAGATCATTCATAACAAAGATTAAAAAAAACAGCGAGTGAATATTACAAAAAACTAAATAAAGTTCGCAAAACATATTTCTGTATTTTATTTACTTCATCCAAAAATTATATCCAACAAGCTTGTATCCAATTACAGTTTTCTATACAAAGTTATCAAATATTAATTAAATAAATTTTATATACACGACATAGAAAACTGTAGTTGAATACAGCTCTCAATTATAAAAACAAAATGGTTAATTAGTATAGATACGTATTTTTTATTTCGCTTAAGCTGCCGTTATTTGCTAGAAAATATACTTTTAATCAGCCATGACGTAGGCGCTTGACGCAATTAATCACCGATCAGGTGACAAATCAGTGACGTCTATTCAGCTGTCAATAAGGGTTACATTTCAGTGGCTAGGTTATATACATCTGAACTTTTAGTTCGTTCACGCGTCAAAAGATGGCGCTGTCTCACGAGGAGACTGATGACTCTATATTAATAATGTACTCTTGGGTGATTACATTCTCTTTGCCTGACAGTCTCACATGGTCTCACACTACCTACATTAAAGAATACTTTTATTTTATATATCTGAAAACTACATCACAAGATTTCTTTATCATAAATATATTTTTTGTATAATTTGAACCTATGCTACTAAACGATATGAAACCGATGTCTGTTAAACTCTATAATGCTATTGTCGACGATTTTAACAAAATTACTTCATTTAGCCGAAAGTCGGAAAATGAACTTCGAAAAAAATATAATGAGTAAGTATTTAACTGAAAAAACTTCATTGGGACTAATATAAAATTGATAATTTGAAGAACACCTTGAAAGTGAAATGTGATAACTCACAAAGCAAGCCATTAAATAAAAAGAAGAAGTATTTAACTAAATTACACATACTTTAGCAAATTGAAATGTCGAAACATAATATCTTTTTCTAGAAGTGTTGCATATGTATATTTATGATTATATTACTTTAATTATACTGATTACTTTTCAGTCTGCCATCATCTACATTTGGTAGTATAATGTCATTATTAATTCAGAGGTCCATGAAACAAAGTTATCGAAAGTCACCAGTTATATCTAGTAAATATTATGAATTGTATGAAGATTTAATGCGTGACAAAAATAAAGAAGACGTAATTATAAAGTGAGTATCTTCATAGTTTAGTAGTTATAGTTGACAAATATTTAAAGAAGTTGAATTATATATATATTAGGAAGAGTAAACTTACTAACATTAGAAACTTAATTATAAGTAACTGTTTACTGGTTTGTGGACCAAATGATAACAGTTTCCTTGGGTTGCATAATAATTATTACAATGGTAATATTTTTCTATAGATTACAAATATTTGATCATAGTGTGCGGTAATAATGTAACCAGTAGTAAAGATTACCTTAAATTCTGTTACAATTTACTTAATACCGTACATGTACCTTTATCTATACTGTGTGAAATTATAATTATTAAATATATTGTATAGTATTTTAAGTAATTGTATTAGAACCACACAGTTATTGTTATATGTCAGCTTGTCAGACTTTAACACCTTCATTTCACATAAAAATGTCAATACTTCATAATACGGTGGTAGGGCCACGCAGCAGCCTCGGCTGTTGCACGAATGGGCAGGCCAGTCTGGGTAAGTACCACAATCTCACAGAAGACCAGCGTAATGGGGAAGTATGACAAATACTTTCGCGTTTCGTCTGGTGAGTGAGGTAGCCAAAGCCCAATTTTCAAAAGGTTGTTAACGCATCTGTAACCCTCAGATGTCCATGCGCAGCTGTATTCACTTACTATCAGGTGAACCATCTGCTTGTTTGGCAACTTTCCACATAAAAAAAATACTGATTTTAATAAATCATAATTTTAATAAATCCAAGCATAAAAGATAGCTTAGTTTTAAAATAATATATTAATTAAAATTTTCTTCTATACTTTTATATTTTGAATGAATTCATGTTGTTCTATTACAGACTATCTGATAGCCAAGGAATATGTCCAGCATTATTAGTGAGGTCTTTGTTACAAAATGTATGTACTCAACTCCAAGCTAAGAAATATATCAAAGACACCACTTTAATTGAGAACAAAGACTTAGCATACCAGGTCTTCTTGGTAAGTGTGGCTGGTAATGCAAACATATTAAAGAAATTTTCATTAAAATGTTTAATTTAAAACTGTCACAAAATTTTATTTTTAGGCCATCATGAATGATAATCAATATGGTCCTTATGCAGACATTGTGAAACAGTAAGTATTCTTGAGTATCAACCAATTGTCATTAGCTTTTTTTTCCATAAACTTAACTTTTCAATTTTCCAGATCAATTGGACTGGAGTATGAACTTAGATTGGAAAGAGAGTTAAGATTAATGAATATAACATTTTCTGATGAAAATATTCTTCGATCAAGAGGATATGATAAAACTCCAGATTTTAAGTTGGATGTGCCTATTGCTGTTGATGGATTTATTGTTAATTGGGTGGAGAGTAAAGCAATGTTTGGTGATGAAGATAACCACTCCGGTTACGTCAAAGAGCAATTAACATGTTATTGGAATAGATTTGGGCCAGGATTAGTGATATATTGGTTTGGATATCTGGAGACGTTAGATTCCACACCAGAAGTAAATAATATGTTCATACTACGAACAAAATTCCCATGTAAAGCTAGTATAACACAGTACAAAGCTGAATTGTTATGAAGTCTCATTGAGTTGTGCAAAAACATGTTACAATAAAAAGTAACTTTTATTTCATAGATTTAAAAAAAGATTTATAAAGAACAAATATTATTTTATCACTCCATATTTTTACAATTTATTTATCCCATATTTGCTACATTAGTGCCCATTTTTACCAATCCAGAACTTTAAGGAACACCTAAAAAAAATTAAGTGAAGAACGGACCTCTCTCTAAGACGGAGGGCTCATCCCACCCGTATTAGACGCTACTCGCAGCTTGCAGTAGTTTAGTGTTAGTGTAGTGTTTTGCTCGTAGGCTCGTGCTCGTTGGCTCGTAGGTTCCTGTTCTGTAAATATAATTCTATACACACTTCTCGCCTCAGAGGCGGCATTGTTTTATTTAATAACTGTGTGCTTGTTGCGATAGGTGACAGCTAGGTACCCACCCTAGCGCACCTAAAGCGCAGGCGAATTAGTTGTTATTTTTAGACATACACTTCCCTGCCGCGAGGCGGCCTGGCCTATTTAGTAACTTACACGCCGGCGGGGCGCAAGCCCCAAAGGCTCAAGTGCTCGAAATGGGTTCCCTCCAAGGGCGGATCCAGCTTTGGTGCCAGGGGGGGGGGGGGGGGGGGGGGGGGTCACGTAGTCGTGGTCAATTGATAAGAAGTTATAATTAAATTTTTATTATCATAGATACAAGTAAAAAGTAGGTATTTTTAAAATTTATTAATATTAAATATTTTTTAATATTTATTAAAAAGGAGGAGGTTATCAATTCGGATGTTTACATTTTTTTTTAAGGTATGCTCGGGCATAACTTCCTCATATATAGACGGATTTGCAAAATTCTTTTTTGTTCGTAACAATTTGTTGCTTTTTATTGTCATATATTATACAGGATGGCTTTTATAAAGGTGCCCAAATTCATACAGGAGGTTCAAACTCGGTAGTATAACCGTTTATTGAAATAAATATAAAAATTTTTTTTAAATTAAAGTTGGCATTCTATTCCCTAAAAAACAGAACTTGTTGACAATGCGGTAGTCATTCGTAAATGCGTCGTATACTTTTGAAACGAACTTGTCTGCGTGTTAGTTATGAATGATCGCGCGTAAAATACATGAATTGCCCATTAATCACGCACTTTCTGAGATACGTTCAAATGAATGTAATTAATTAATTACGAGTGATTTTAAATATTTATCATTTTTTACTATAACTTTATTTATGTCTTGTGACGCACCGTCTTCGCGGCGACTATAAATAAAAGTCTTTAAGCGTCAACTATTTTGTTTAATTCGGTTATTAAAACGGTTACAATCACAATATGTACTTATTAACTAATGAGTCGCGTACAACACAGAGGTCGGCGCCCGCGGCAGCGCGACATGCGTACGTACTGGAATACAGAAGGCGACTAATCGTCAGATCTAAACAGGACAGGGGCATGCACATACCTACGCGCTATAGTCTAGAATTTAATAAAAAAAAAGGGAACACTTAGAAAAGCCTCCCTGTACAGTATTTTGTTTTGAAGTAGCTATTGGTAGGATTACTTATATTTGAAATTTCTCTTTATTTATTTCTTCGTTACCAGATTTTATGTAGTCGTATTGGTTATAATATTTTCCAATTCCTCTACTCCGCACGCTGGCTCCACTTCAATGACAAGTAACCTAAGACGGGACTATCGGGACACGGGTTAATAATAATATATTATCAACCCAAATGAAAACTCCAAAAATAGCCGTACACAAAAAATTTCATCGTAAAGTTAATTTTTTTTTCATAAATAACAAAAATATTTATTCAGTCAATCATTCATTTATTCATAATATTCAGCGTTCGTCCATCTAATCACAGACAGAATCCACATTTATACCAACGGAACGAACAAACTTTACTTCCCAAAGATGGGGTCGCATACTCACGTCCACTAAACCACCACCTCTCACAACCCGTCAAAAACGGTCCACCCTTTAAGACGAATCAAACTCGACGCAGTTGTGCTCCTTAATTACTGAGTTGCCACATTCCAGCTCTGTCATCAGACCCTGGTTACCATCTAGCACTAAAGACCTCGTCATGACGAATCAAACGAGGCGAGACACAATAGGGTTGCGTCGTTTGTTTACTGAGTAGGTACATATGACTATCTTCCAGCTCCATCATCAGATTAGACCCTGGTAACATCTAAAAATTAAGTACTCGCCAAGACGAATCAAACGAGCCGAAACTCGATGGGGTTCAGTCGTTTCATTACAGAGTGATCATAGGAACCTCACAGAAGATCGGCGTAAAGTACTTCTGCGTTTTGTCTGGTGAGTGAGGTAGCCGGAGCACACTTTATTGTAAGGAGAAAACGCATCTGCAACCCTATGCATATGTCCATGGACGGCTGAAGATGGAGTTCCATCATAAGATCCTGGTTACCTATGAAATAAATAAATAAATAAATTAATTTATTTATTTATCTAAGTGAAAGACAAACTACTCGTCAATACGATTCAAATATACCCGAACGCGATGAGGCTCTGTCGTTTCATTGCGAAGTTCCTTTTGCCACCTTCCAACTCCATCATCAGATCAGTACCATGTGTTAAAATGGGTTTTAATGGGTAAATAGAAACTCACTTTTAGGGAATTAACAATATATATATTAAATAGAACTTTTTTGAAAATAATAATAGTATATTTAATGTAATCTAACTAAAGATAATTGTGTGGCTGACTACTCGCGACTGCCCGTCGACTGACGTGTTTTGACCTTAAATAATTTTTAGTTACTTAAAAAAAAATCACGTCGGTGTCTGTAGCTAACTTCACAATACGAGGGTTGCCATATGTAATTAATTGTTCTTTTCTCCTATTACAATAAATTAATTAATTTAAAAATTATTTCTTTGGCATAATGTTATGATTTAACTTTTAACATAATAAATCAAGTATATGTTATAGATTATTTAAATTTATATTGAAAATTTTACATAATTATTATTTATCTCTAACAACTCGGCCATCCGACTTAAAAAAAATAACGAGGGGTATAAAAAAAAAAGTTTTAGATTAATTCTAGTAATGTAAATCTACTGCAAAATGATGAGTGGACTTCAACATGATTTAATTAATAATTTTATTAACCGTTACAATACAGAGTTTTATTATGATTTAATTTAACATAAGCGTAACGGTGACAACAACAATCTTGATATAATGGTAACACTTATACACTTGTGGTTATATTTTCTAATTTAATTTCATACATGAGATAATCATAAATCAAAACTTGTTACAATACATATATTATTATATCGAGGTACTGTTTCACATTTTGTCGAGGACGTAATTGCCTTGTAACCATTCAGAAGTTGGCCATGACAGTACCAATTCTGACAAGGTCCCATGCTGACTAAATTATATTCTATTCATTACTTACATCGAAGCACTGCTTCACATTCTGTCGAGGATTTACTTGCCTTGTGACCATTCAGAATCTGGCCATGACAGTACCAACTCTGACATGGTCCCGTGGTGACCAAATTCTATTCTTATCTCCAAGGGCACAAGGCCGGCCATGACAGTACCCAGAGACTGGCCATGACAGTACCAATCTCTGCATTGGAGAGTTGCAACTTACAATTCTGATTGTACAAAACATAACTGACCGTTACTTATTGACCTTCATCGTCAACTACATTGTCACTGGCTGAAGACACATCATCATCATAGGCATTGCCAAAACTTAGCCAAGGAAACAGTTTATCCAAAGCAACAATGGCTTCATACGTTTTACCCTTCTTAGTCAAGGGAGTATCCTCAATGACAAATCTGTCGTTTGGGAGCACCCTTTTAATTCTGTATGGCCCGCGACATTTAGCTTCTAGTTTTCTAGACTGCCCATCTTGACTGGGGATATTTCTAAGAACTCTGACTAGGTCACCTACTACAAAGTTATGTCCTTTCTTTCTATGTAAATCGTAACGCTCCTTATCTTTATCTTGTTGCTTCTCTATTAAATACTTTACAGTCTCCCGCGTATCTTCTAGATTAGAAACATCGTTACCTACGTCTTGTATAATTTCATTAAGTGTACCTAGAGCAGGATGGGTAGCTCTGTAACCAAATAATAATTCTGTAGGAGTTTTCTTTGTTGTAGCATGGATGGCGGTGTTTATACCTAACTGAATATCTGTCAAATGTTCGTCCCAGTTTCCCTTAGGCTTTTCATGAGTCATCGTTCCTAGTGCCGCTAGGATAGTGCGGTTGTACCGCTCTACCTGGCCGTTAGCTCGGGGAGTGGCTACGGCATTAAACACATGCTTTATTCCTAAGGACTTAACAAAGTCTTTAAATCTCTTTCCCGTAAAACTAGTGCTCTGATCAGTTATTAATCGTGTTGGTGTCCCAAAATAACTAATATGCTCCTTAAGAACATGTACGCTCGTAGACGATTTGGTGTTACGGACAGCAGTTATATTAATGAATTTGGTAAAAGCATCAATGATTACAAGTATATAGCTATTTCCCCTTTTACTTCTGTTGAACGGGCCCAAATGGTCTGCATGGATTGTGTGGAATGGGATGTCTACTTTTGGGATTGGATGAAGTAAACCAGATCTACTTCCCGAAGGGACTTTATGATGGGCGCATTCAAGACACGCACCAACATATTTCTTTATGAATTTACGCATTTTTGGGAACCAAAAGGTGTCTTTAATCCTGTTAAGCGTCTTTTCGAAGCCGAAGTGACCAACTTCGTCATGATTTGCCTTAAGGATTTGCCAACGTACCCCTTTTGGTACCACCCACCTTAATACATCTGGTTCTACAATACGATAGACACGATTATTCTTAATTTTGTAATTTTTAATGATATCGGCGATATATTCAGATTGTGGGTCAGTCAACACATCTTTGATGTGTTTGATCTCATCATCGCTATCCTGCACTGTTGCAATCCAATCTTGAGAACCTACGTTCAGTATATCCAATACTCGTGTTTCAGAGCAATTTT